TCTCTCTCTCTCTCTCTCTCTCTCTCTCTCTCTTCTCTCTCTCTCTCTTCCTCTCTCTCTCTCTCTCTCTCTCTCTCTCTCTTCTCTCTCTCTCCTCGCTCTCTCTCTCTTATCTCTCTCTCTCTCTCTCTCTCTCTCTCTCTCTCTTCTCTCTCTCTCTCTCTTCTTCTATCTCTCTCTCTCTCTCTCTCTCTCTCCTCTCTCTCTCTCTCTCTCTCTCTCTCTCTCTCTCTCTCTCTCTCTCTCCTCTCTCTCTCTCTCTCTCTCTCTCTCCTCTCTCTCTCTCTCTCTCTCTCTCTCTCTCTCTCTCTCTCTCTCTCTATCTCTCTTCTCTCTCTCTCTCTTCTCTCTCTTCTCTCCTCTCTCTCTCCTCTCTCTCTCTCTCTTCTCTCTCTCTCTCTTCTCTCTTCTCTCTCTCTCTCTCTCTCTCGCTCTCTCTCTCTCTTCTCTCTCTCTCTCTTCTCTCTCTCTCTCTCTCTCCATCCATATTGTTAACAGTTATCATATTATGTCTATCGGTCTTATTGCGTAGTTGGTACGTTATCGGAAGTTCATCTGTGCCATTCATTGATGCCACTCACATGCATATGTTTATTATGAGCGACAATGTCGTCGAAAGTGACCTTCGACGACGTCACCGAGATTTCGCTGTGCCGGTGACGGGCGTGCTGCGGTTCCCTGGTGACGCCACTGGGGCGGCAGGGCGCTGGACTGGGACAATGTGCGCGGCGCGCCGGCCGTCGGCCGCCTGGGCCTGGAGGTGGGCCGCGCGCCGCCGCGGCCCGGCTCGCCGCCGGCACGCCTCGACTCGCCGGCAGCGCGGCCTCGCAGCGGCTCTATGGGCGTCGTGAGCAGCGGCGTCGACCCGGCCAACTACTGCACCGTCCACCAGACGTCCGACGGCACCAAGGTCTGGCGCCGGCGCGAGGTCGTGCCGGGGCTGCGGACGTGGGCGGCGCATTAAAAGCTGCAGGGTGATGGGTCATTCAGCTGCGTGCTGAAGAGCGTGTGGTAACATTCAGGATTGTCTTTCAGAGTACCGAAGCTTTTATCTTTTGGTGCTAGGCGAGCGTTAAAAACTGGCAGTTTTGTCTAACCTCAGACGACGATTGCACTGGAAGGACGCGAATATCTGCGCCAGCTTGTGTTCCAGAACGGTCCACTGAGAACGAAACGTCATCAAAGTGCTACCCGCTCACCACACGTCGTTCACCACACCCCACACTCACCTGCCCACCACACCTCTCTCGCTACAACCCTCTCACCACACGCTTCTCACCACACGCTTCTCACCACACCCCTCTCACCACACCCCTCTCACCGCAGCCCTCTCACTACACTCCTCTCACCACGCCCCTCTCGCCACACCTTATTCACTACACCACCCGCCTACTCCCCCGCTCGCCACACCCGCCCACCACACCCCACCATCTGACGCGCCTCACCACCGGACAGGTGCGGTGGGACATGAAGCGGCCGAAGCTGATCGTGCCGCGGCGGGAGATCAACCTGTCGTCGCAGCCCCGGCGCTCGGCGCTGAAGCCGTCGACGGCGGCGGCGGCCGACCCGCTCACCCCCGTGGAGGAGGCGCCACCGGGGGAGGGCGAGTCGTCGCCGGCCGCGCGGCCCTCCCGCTTCATGGTGAAGAAGGTGCCGGAGGGCGCCGGCAGCGCCGAGATGTTGCCGATGGTGCCGCTCAATGGGGACGCGATGACGAACGGAGGGGCGCAGGTGAGAGCTGAGAGCGCGGGGAGGGGGGAAGAGCTGGGTGTGGTCGCTCGTGGTGCTGCAGCGCACACGGTGTGCGCGCTGCTTGGATGTGTTGAGGCATTCGTGAAAAGGGTATGAGAGTCCAGCTGATGATTGGACGTAGAAGTGTCGAAGTAGAATGTTTTGACTTATCGGGAATTTTTTTACGTGAGTCGGATGTAACTGCTTACATGTGCAAGGCGCTCAGCTAATGAACGAGGACTATGTTTTATACACTATTTTTGTGGAATGCTGCCCTGAAGTAATACCATTTTTATATGTGGGCCATTTATGTCCTGTTTATGAGAGTGCCAAAGTCTGCAATGAATCGTTCTGACGGCATGTTTCTTCCCGTAGAATGGTATCACCAACGGTGTGTCCCTGGACGGCGACAGCGGCGCCTCCAGCGACGAGCCGACAACCAACAGCCTGGCCGTTTCGCCACCAGGGAGCAGCACTGAGCGTCGCCGCTCCTCAACGCCGCGCAAGGGCAGCACCACCTCTGACGTTTACGACTCGCTGGTGTCCAACAGCTCGCGGGCCGGCCGCCTGCGGGACGGCATCGCCAAGATGATGCCGAAGCGTTCCGGCAACCTGGACCTGGAGGAGAGGAAACAGAGTGCCGACCAACGCCTGAACCGCCAGTTCAGTCTCTCCGACATGCACCAGGGGTCAGTGGAGGCGGGCGCTCGCGGCGGTAGGACCACCGGTCGATATTTTGCCCTGAGGATGGCTCTCCAGTAGCGTTGCTCGGTGCGGTGATATTGCGGTGCGGTGCGGTGCGGAGTAGTGCAGTGCGGTGCCGGAGCTCTCATTGCCTGGAACACCAGGTGGTCCTCCGGCATATGTGCGTTCCGCAGGGTGTCTTGTTTTAATCCTCCAAAACAAACTTTTGGCGCAACTCACTGATCAGAAGGCTATTAAGTGGAAGGCAAAAGACGTTCCTGGATGCCTACGATACTCTGCTTGATGATCGTGCTACTTCTCGTGTTGATTCAGCGTTGGTTGATCTGCCCTCACGCCGTTAACATCACCATTTCAGCGAGGGTGACGGACTGGCCAACATGAGCCAGATGATCCAGCGGACGTTGGACAGAACCACACAGATGCTCAGCGGCATTAAAGGCCCGGTAAGGCCAGAGACGACCGGCAGGCTTCTTGCCAAACATACCGTGCGAAGAAACCGTCGTTGGCGTGAATCATTTATCGGGGCTTACCTCGATTCACTTTTCCTGGATGGTGCCTCGATCGAGTTTCTGAATGCGTGTTGCTCCAGAATATCGCTGCCAGACTGATGTACGGCTGCTGTATTGCCACCGTTTACATGCCACTCCCTTGCATCCTCTGTCGCCCCAAGCCAGTTTGGCCGCAGATCACACCAAGTCAGCAGGCTGCCTATCCGCGGGCGTCGCTGTTAGCATGCAAGAGTCCAACATTACTCACTGGTCCGACGTTTATTCCGCTGGTGACGAAATAAAAACAAAGAAACGAAGCACGCGTCATGCAGTGGCGCGCCCTCACACAAACGTCACGCCCCACACTGCGTCTCTGAGCGCCATGTTACGCATCAAGACCACAATGCAGCGCTACACCCCAGCTCCACGCCCCAGCACTACGCCCCTGCGCCACGCCCCTGCGCTACACTCCAGTTCCACGCCCCAGCACTACGCCCCTGCGCCACGCCCCTGCGCTACACTCCAGCTCCACGCCCCAGCGCCACACCCCAGCTCCACTTCCCAGCGCTACACCCCAGCTCCACGCCCCAGCGCTACACCCCAGCTCCACGCCCCAGCGCTACACCCCAGCTCCACGCCCCTGCACTACACTCCAACTCCACGCCCCAGCACCACGCCCCTGCGCCACACCTCTGCGCCACGCCCCTGCGCCACGCCTCAGGGTCTAGCTCTGACCCCCGTGTGGCCTCCGTGCAGAGTGTACCGACGGATACGGAGGTGCGGCTGCGACGGGCGTGGCGACGGCGCCAGCTGAACCGCGAGGTGGAGCTCCGTGACGTCATCGAGGTGGACACGTTCCCGCTGGCGGTGAACGTGGACACGCCGCTGGTGCAGGTGCACAAAATGTTCGCCATGTTGTGCGCCAACAAGATGTACGTGATGGACCGCCGCCGCCTGGTGGGCTGCCTGCCCCTGCAGAGGGTGAGTGTGCTGGGGGGGGGGGGGGATGGTGTAGGGGTGAGTGTGTGTGTGTGGGGGGGGGGGGGGGGTGGAGACGGAGGGAGCGAAAGCGGGCTGCGCCGCCGGCCAGCTAATGCCGCCGATGTAAACGTGACCTATCTCCTAAAACGGCTGTGATACCAGTGCTGGAAAGGCGCATTGTAACTGACAGCTTAGCGCGGCTTACAGAAGTTCTCGCAGGGCTGCGGGCGTTTTAGCATGAGACCGTTTTTGTTTGACGTTCTTTATGCTGACGAATCGGGACGCATGTTTTCTGTGTGAATGTATCCCAAGTGTCTTCAATGGGTTACTTTGGGTGCAGATTATCTGCTAAGCAAAGCATGTTGTGTGCACCCCAAACCCATCATCAAACTTACATCTTCCAATAACTTGGGGTGATGAGTGCCGCCCTTTCGCCATGCCCTAGTGTCCTCCCCCACTCTGCCCTTGGCATTACCCACGACCAGACAACCAGTGTCATAATGCACAAACCGAGTGCTCAACCTATCAGCCAAACAAAGAGTCGCTGTCGTATCGGCATGTCTCGTTTGCCAGTCACGGCCGGGACGCAGGCGCTCTAACCGCGCTCTCCGCGCCGTCCAGCTGTCCGAGTTCATCACGCGCGGGCACATGGACGACCTGGCCCCGACCTCGGTCTACGACACGGTCACATCGGCCGGCCAGCTGACGCCGCGCCAGGAGCGGCGCGGCTCGCAGGACACGCTCGATGAGATCGACGACAGTGTGTACGACACAATCACCGAGCCGCCCGTTGCCGACCCGCCGCCGGCAGCGACATCTCCTGTCTAGGCGACGAACTGCGCAACGTGACGTCACAGGGTGGTGGACGCGATGGCGTCGGGTGGGGTTTTCTGGTTGTGAATGACAAGCGAGGAGACCATGCTTTTTAGCGATGTTTTACGTTTTTATACAAACACATTTTTAAGTAATAAAGACTGCAAGCTTGCGTGAATATCTTTTTGCTGCGATAGGGTTGCTGGCAGGTGAACAGCGAATACCATATGAGTATTTATATTTAGTGTTAGCGAGCAAACGGGCCGTCGCTGGCAGCGCGGCGGCGACGTATCCGCGATGGTGTGAGCGGCCCCTCTGCCGATTGGTCCCCATCATCTGGAGCCCATAAACCCACGTGGGTTTATGGGGACACGCGGGCGGGGACGCACGGTCCCGGCCGAGCAGTCCTCGTTCAGGCTCCGACGGCGCGGCTCGACGCGAGCCGCGTCGGCGTTTACGACGACGACGACGACGACTTCGGAGTGCAACGCCGCCCTTCCAACCCCTCTCTCACCTTTGCCTTGCAACTCTTTGGCTAATAGAGACTCTTTCCTTTCAACGTCTCAAGTCGATGGTCCTCCGGAAAACTCACGAACTCTTTCGCACGAACATTTAGTTTTCATGGGCAAGATCCGTTATGTAATAGTCGTTCGTCGACCGGCTGGTCGGCATTCGTCGCTTCCCCCTCCATACACGCGACGCCTTGCCTCACCGGACGAATGTCACGGCTGTCAAACGTCGGTCAGCCGAGCCAGCACCCTGGCTGGGGAACATACCCCCCCCCCCCCCCCCGGCATCTCTGGCAGCGTTCCCTGTGAGGGGCAGACCTTGCATCCTGAGACAACCCAGGCTGAGTGCAGTCACACTCCACATCTCCCCATTGGTCCCAGATGTGTGACATGATTCGCTCGCACCGGAGGATCTGTAGCCGATCTATAGACAGCTACGTGTCTTGTCGCAACTCACTATCAAAGTTTGAACAATCAGAAATGGTCGCTACCGAAGTTTGAACAATCAGAAATGGTCACACAAATTCAGTGGCGCTCGAAGTGGCAAACAGCGTGCTTGTATTTATCTCACCAAACTGAACCAGAGGCTTCATACGCTGCACCCTTTGCTAAGATACGGGGTGCTAGACATCTGATCAGCATTTGGCAGCCATACGGGAGTGCATCCCGAAAGGCGCTCGTATGTCAGAGGTCATTAGCGGTCAATCAGAAGCAGCCGTGGCGATCAGGCTGCTAGGGACAGCAGTGCTATAAAGTCTAGAATGCCTAAGGCTTTTTGCAAAAGCATTAGGTGTAGACATAGGCTGCTCTAGTGATTTGGTGGGGATAACCACAAAAGCAATGCGTTTTTTCCAAAACCATCTCAACCAAACTACCCATCGAATTACTTACAAAACACCGAACACCTTGTGCATCATTCGATCAATTCATCCAGTGTTTTCGCGTGATGCTTTGGTCTGAATATGTTCGAAGCAGAGCTTGCTGAGCGCGCTCTGAGTGCTCGCTGATATCAGCGTGTGTATCAGCTGCGCTCTGAGCGCTCGCTGACACCAGCGTGTGTATCAGCTGCGCTCTGAGCGCTCGCTGACACCAGCGTGGGTATTAGATGCGCTCTGAGCGCTCGCTGACACCAGCGTGTGTATCAGCTGCGCTCTGAGCGCTCGCTGACACCAGCGTGGGTATTAGATGCGCTCTGAGCGCTCGCTGACACCAGCGTGGGTATCAGCTGCGCTCTGAGCGCTCGCTGACACCAGCGTGGGTATTAGATGCGCTCTGAGCGCTCGCTGACACCAGCGTGGGTATTAGATGCGCTCTGAGCGCTCGCTGACACCAGCGTGGGTATTAGATGCGCTCTGAGCGCTCGCTGACACCAGCGTGGGTATTAGATGCGCTCTGAGCGCTCGCTGACACCAGCGTGGGTATTAGATGCGCTCTGAGCGCTCGCTGACACCAGCGTGGGTATTAGATGCGCTCTGAGCGCTCGCTGACACCAGCGTGGGTATCAGCTGCGCTCTGAGCGCTCGCTGACACCAGCGTGGGTATTAGATGCGCTCTGAGCGCTCGCTGACACCAGCGTGTGTATCAGCTGCGCTCTGAGTGCTCGCTGACACCAGCGTGGGTATTAGATGCGCTCTGAGTGCTCGCTGACACCAGCGTTGGTATCAGCTGCGCTCCGAGCGCTCGCTGACACCAGCGTGGGTATCAGCTGCGCTCTGAGCGCTCGCTGACACCAGCGTGGGTATTAGATGCGCTCTGAGCGCTCGCTGACACCAGCGTGGGTATCAGCTGCGCTCTGAGCGCTCGCTGACACCAGCGTGGGTATTAGATGCGCTCTGAGCGCTCGCTGACACCAGCGTGGGTATCAGCTGCGCTCTGAGCGCTCGCTGATATCAGCGTGGGTATCAGCTGCGCTCTGAGCGCTCGCTGACACCAGCGTGGGTATCAGCTGCGCTCTGAGCGCTCGCTGATATCAGCGTGGGTATCAGCTGCGCTCTGAGCGCTCGCTGACACCAGCGTGGGTATCAGCTGCGCTCTGAGCGCTCGCTGATATCAGCGTGGGTATCAGCTGCGCTCTGAGCGCTCGCTGACACCAGCGTGGGTATCAGCTGCGCTCTGAGCGCTCGCTGACACCAGCGTGGGTATCAGCTGCGCTCTGAGCGCTCGCTGACACCAGCGTTGGTATCAGCTGCGCTCCGAGCGCTCGCTGACACCAGCGTGGGTATCAGCTGCGCTCTGAGCGCTTGCTGACACCAGCGTGGGTCTAGATTAAGTGTGCGATTTGCACCCGGTCTTCTTTAGTCTAAGACCAGGCTGAAGAATCTCTTCGCGTGCTGCAGCCAGAAATATGAACTCCGAATACAGCTGGAATCGGTTGCGGAATCCACCCGGCCTTCATTGAATCTCGTGAGAAAAGATTCCTTTGAAACTACTTCCTGAGCTGAAGCCGGGATTGATTCAGCCGAGTCGTCGGTGGGTTGGTTCACCGACGAGTTGTTTGACGACTATGAACAGGAATGAAGCAGCAGGATGCGTGTGCACTCTAACAAGTTATACGTTCGCAACATGCATCACAGTCACAGCTAACTGCATGATTATCAAAGTAAGTGTTCTTTTTAGTCCTTTGTGAATATTTTCGAACGGATTTTCACCAAAATCGTTGTCACCGGAATCGGCTCCGTCGGAATTTATTCCGACATTGAGCCACATCACCCTAAGTCAGAATCAGAGTCGATTCAGACTTGAGCCGAATTGCACGGACTAAGGGTCAAAAACAACCTCATGCGTTGTGAGACGGAATGACATTGAGTCCGCTTTAGCAGAATCCCGCAGAAGCATTTTTAAACCGCTGTCACACAGCCTTCCCCGTCCCAGGCCGGATTCGGGCCAGCTTCTGGCCGGCATTTCAGCCGTCACCAGACCATGTGTCCGGTCTGGGACACGCACCCTCCGCTGCGTGAAGGCGAGGTCAATATTTACCCCTAAACCATAGGCGGGGGGGGGGGGGCTTTCGTTGTGAAGCCAGTGATCAAGCCTTTATATAGGATCCCCCCGCAGGTGTTATTCTGCAGGCAAAGCGTTAGGCAATATGACGTGACAGCTAACAAACTGCTGGTTATGCCTTGGTTACACGGTGGAATGTAAGCCATCCATGTCTAGCAGCACAAATATGGCCGCTCATGGCCGTATGGCCGCCCACAGCCTCCCTCAAGCCCCCTCCCCCAGTCCCACAAGAAACAACAGATTGTTCTGCGGCCTTCGATAAATTAGACCTTTCTTACGCTGTTGATAACATTCGGTCGTAGTTAGGTTCATGACGATATGCACATTGCATATTTCGGAACACTGAAATGTTTCGAAAAACTGCATGATATGGGTCTCCCCCACCAATCGTTCAGGTCATGAGGCTCTTATCATGGGCAAGTTTCATCACTTAAAACTGATGCAGCATGTATCGCACACACGTTATATCCGAAAATCGCATTTCCGAATACCCGATATAAACCCTCGACAATTATACATGTTTTACCTTGATCGCCACATGACTTATGGAACGGCAGTATTTGAATGACGTTATTATGACGTCCTAAATGCCGAAATGACTTGAAATACTCTTCCGGTATAACTTTCCCCATTTTCGCGGGCGTTTAGCTCAGAAACTAGAGGTGCTTATGTATTAAGGAGGGCAGAGTGGTAAACAACACCGAAAGGTCTTCAGGATGGCTATTTCAATAAAAAAACAACAATGCGGAACGCTTCCTTTATGACGATTTGCTTGATCGCTAATCCATCCAATTCACATCCGCGCCCAACCACATACATGCGCCTACATTTTGTTATTTGCTGCGAAGTATGGCTGACATTAGATGAATATATACAGGCTACGCTTGGAAATGTTTTTGTTGCGGCGAACCGCATCCCATTAGATTTGGTCGTTCTGGAAAGGTTAGATAAGTGATACATGATATCAAGAATTGTGGATTACACTCGAAATAAGACAGTATTGCTACCACTGGTAACCCCCGCCGGAGCGTGCTGAAAGATACTTGTGTGGCGAAACTCTCAGAATGAGCGTCTTTTAATGGAGAATTGCTGGTATTATGTCGACTCCAAGAAAAGTCGCTGCGGCGTTACCACGTCGGCTGTGCCGCACTTTCCACTCATGACTGCGTGACTCGGCTGATGACAGCACGTCCCAGCGCTTGACTCGTGGGGGAAGCGTCTTGGGGAATGTAGATGAGGAACGTGGTTGTTACGGAAGCAATGAACAGCATGCTGTTCAAAAACCAGCTGCAGTCACACAACTGTAGAATATAAAACTATCATGAAGGTCGATAGGTTTTGTCTCTTAAATTTTGATGAAAGTAAATCACGTCACGCATGCAGGACTAGCCTCTCCGCGCAGAGAGCATCACGGATTGGCAAAACACAGATGAAATGGTTTACTCGTTCGAAGTGACGTCAGTGCAAACTGCTTTGCTAGCATAAGAGATCTTGCTGTAACGACAGTGCAGCCAAACACCAGCGAGTTCGGTGTTTGCTTTGGCCGAGGCGATGATCTGCCCTCTTTTTCTGCGTCCAAGTGAAACGAGCGGTTATTCTCAGTGAAAGGGGGTTTTTGTCGTCGCTTGCGGGTGTACGACCGCAGATCGAGTTTAACCGCGTC